CCTTGCAATAAAATTTAACCATAAATATAATAGTGTTTAATTGAATTCTTTGAGTCTTTATAATTATCAAATCTGAAGATGGTTTTGGAAATTCCCTGAACTTGCAATTGTTGCCAGAGTGAAGGTGGTCATGTTTAGCAGCACACCCTTGAACTTTGCAAATGGCTAAGGGCCAGTACTGTACTTAATTGGTGAACTTGTCCCTAAGTTCACTCCTTGTTCATGTCCTCTAGGAACTTGTAAACTACTTAAGATGAGAAACATTTGAGGAACAGGTATATACAATATGTCAAACAGAGTTGCGCCACTAAAAAAAGACAGATGGGAGGAAAGAAGGCATTTGAGAAGCCTTTAAGAAAGAAATATGATGCTCTGGGCTTAAAGAAACAGGATTTGGACTGAAAGTGAGGGGGGAAAGCTAATTTTATAAATAAATAATGAAAAGTGAAAGCACAAAAACGAGGGAAAGTATGACACAAAAGAACAGCAAGCAGTTTGAGATGGAAGACTGAAGCAGGTGTTTGTGGTTAACTCTCCAACTGCCACATCACTCCCATGATTAACCTAAGCTGTCAGGGGTAATTCTGACACCCTTTCTCAGGGACTTGTTTGGAAATGAGCACACCTCTAGCCACTGAGGTATGAAGGAAAGCATTTGGAGGTAGGTGAAGAAAGCCCACTGTAAATGTGACCCAGAACCTCACAGAATCTGAAGGGTGTATGAGAAAGATCTGGTAGCAATATACAAAATGATATAGAGAGGGGAAGCTAGAGGGAGAAAAAACAGGTAGAAATTACTGTAGCCATCCAGGCATAGGGTTAAGAAAAACCTGTATTTGAGCAGTAACATGAAACCATGACAATGAGGGGAAAAAATGTTATTAAATAGGAATTCTACAAGCCAATTGAGAATTAGGGTTGTCTCAAATTTGAGTGTGTGCCAATTAGCAGCAGTTTAAAATTTTAAAAAAGAATTAACAAGGCACACATGTATTATAGAGTGGAAGGGAAGTATTATTAGGGCTGGTAAGAATGGAAGAATGCCATGGAGAACAGGCTGTTGCTGGCTTTCCCATCTGCCAGCCTTGTAATGCTGGTCTCTCATCTTCGTGGTTTCTTCTCCAGGTCTCACAATGGTTGCTGGAAATCCAAATATTGGGCCTTAATTGGGAAGATAAAGGTGGTACAAAGGTTAATGGCTGTTGGGGTAACCCACCTTAGATGTCTGTCACACGCCAGGTACGCTACAGATACGAAAAGGATTAAGTTTTAATTTTTATTTGAGAATAAGAGCTAAGTTTAGTTTTGAACACTTGAATTAACAAGAAAGTGCTAAGTAGGCGTGTTACTGAGTATAAATTACTTCATTGTCATATTTATTTCTTCCTCAAATCTTCCTTGAGATACTGTATCGAGGAGAAATCTTCCTGAGTAGTTTGAATTATCTTCCTTTTCTAACTCTTGCCCATATTTCTTCTTGCCTCTCTACTGATCTTTAAAAATGTCAATAGACTATATGGAATTTTATTTTTCAAAATTTCAGAAATAAGTATAAATAAAATGCTGACATTTCCACATAGCACTTAATACTCTCCTCCCCCCCACACACACAAAAGACAGGGTTTTAGCAACATTTACATTTGTGAAGATTGTCCCATACATTGTAGGATTTTCAGCAGCATCCTGGCCTCTATCACTTGATATCTCCAACTGTGACAACCAAAAATATTTCAATATTGCTGTATGTCCCAGTAATGGTAGTGGAGGGAGCATTGCCTTAAATTGAGAATCGCTGCTTTAATTATTAGAATTACTACATAGAATTTTATAGACAATTACACAGACATTTTTAGAATTATAGTTATATAAGCCTAGTTGGTGTACGTTATAGGAAGCTTAGAGAGTTTTCTATAGTAATGTGGACCACACAGGAAGAAAGAATGAGAGAGATGTTTTTTCATTATTATACTGACTTTGGAACCTTGGGACTCCTCAGAAATAATGTCTCCATTGGAAAAAGGATACATTTTAAAAATTGTTCTTTTTTCAAGAAAAACAAAAATTATCACTGCTATAGTTGAGACAAGTAACCTTCAAAAGCCTCTGCGCTAGAGGCTTGGTCTCTAGTGCATGTGGCTGTACTGGAAGATGGTGGGACTTTTAAAAGGTGGAGCCTATCAGGAAGTTAGATAATAGGGTGTGTGTGCCCTTGAAGGGAGTATTAGGGCCCTGGCCCACTTCCCTTCTTGGTCTTTGCTTCCCACTGCCATGTGCTAAGCAGCTTCCACTGCCATACACTCCCACCATGATACACTGCCTCGCACAGGCATAAAAGCAAAGGATCAACCCACGATGGACCAAAACCAACAAAACTGTGAGCCAAAATAAACCTTTCCTTCTTATAATAAAAATTATCTTAAGTATTTTGTTACAGTGACAGAAGGCTCATTAATTCCATGAATGGATTTAAAGTTTCAGGAGAGTTGAGTTTGTTTTTAAGTAATGTGTCTGCTCTGACACTATTAGGTGTCTTTGGTGTTAGATGACTAGTTCATCCTGTTCTGACAGCAGCTTCTAATAAATCTGTTTTGTCCCAAAAAAGCCACAACAGTTTTCTTATAATGACAGTCGTAGCTGCAAGACTGTGGTTTTCTCATTTATGGCATTAAATAACTCTCCCTGTTTGGGAGAGATAGAGGAAAGAAAAGATTTTAAGACATTCATTTCCATCATAAACAGTGAATTCTATTATATTTCTATTTGTAGCCTTCCCATCAAATTTCTGCATTTCTATTTTAATATAACTAGCTTTTGTTAAGTCTAAGGCCTTTGTATAATCATGCTGTGTCCCACAAGGCTTCTTACAGCTTCCTATCAACCTAACACAAACTCTAGTTCTCAGTCTAAAGAGATCAAACCAGTCAGCAAAATGCAAAGTAATCTCCCCAGGGTATATTCCAATTCCCCAAAAATCACCAGGGTTGTTTTGCATTCTGCTTTGTTTTTGTTTTTTGAGGGAAGAAGTTACTTCCATTTGTGAAATACATTACCAAGGCGGGGAGAGAAGCACTATGTTTGGGCACTTTGTGAACATAAATTCATTAACCCGAAAGGGAAAATTGGTACAGATGATCTTAATTTGTGTCAGCGTAAACTAGCACAAGCTTCAATGGAATTAAATCACTGGTGGCTCATTCTTGTTCAATTACCTTCCCTGTGGGGAATTTTACAGAAACTATGGTTACAAACTCAGGAGACGGGCACATAATCACACAACTTTGCGTGTAATGGCAGGACATTGGCAGGCTCCTTAATTCCACGGGTTCGAGGGCCCCATATGAAAAATCCTGCAAGAGACCAATCTCAAACTCTTTTTCAGTAATAACATTTTTTAAAAAGGATATGTCCCAAACCTATGGGTATTTATTTTAAAATTTTATCAGGTAATACTCTACAAATATGTACATAATAAAAATACTCAAAAATTAAAATAGCAAAAGCACCTGACTTGCAAGCACAAGGTCCCTAGTTCAATCCCCAGTAAATAATAATAATAATAATATAGCAAAAGCATGTGATGAAAACATATATTAAAAGGTCAAATATTTTCCTCCTAATGGTCTTAAACATCCTCTACCTGTACATACCTTATTTGAATATTCCCCCTCAGGGACTATGGTTCAATCACACATAGTTGGCAGACTTCCCTGAGAGTCAAGTTGATGAAGCAAAAAGCTGAAGTGGTACAAAGACTAGCCAAACCCAATATTAAAAAAAAAAAAAAAATTCTGTGACTAACAAGCTATATATTCCCCACCACTCATACAAAAGATATAATCCTTTAAAGGATTTCTCAGATTTTGTTGGCAAAGCTCTGACCATTCACACAGAAAATGACTAGATTTCCTTTAAAGAATGACTTTGCCCTCTATTAAACTTTCAGACCACTTCTATAATATAGCTGAACTAAACTGTGTTGCTATTACAGAAAAGCAGCTTGAGGCCTGAGTGGAGGTTTTCAAGGGCATAGTATCCTAGAAACAGGAGATGTCTGAATTCAAATCCGCACTCTGTTAGCTTGGATAAGTCATTTCATTTGTCTAACTTTTAGTTTCCTTAACTCTTAAATGAGGATAAGGAAAAGATTATGTATCTATTGTGTGGTTAACCTTCAAAGGTGACGTTAATGGTAGTAAAAGTGTTCTGTAAATTATAAAATGCTATGTAAATAAAAATAAAAACTTTTATGCTATCATAAAATCAAAGCTAAATAATTGAAAAAGTAACTATTACCAAAAATGTCTTTATAGAAAACATTAGTGTGAAATTAAATTTTAGAGTCTACCCAAGACCCTATGATTGCCCACAATTCCAAGTCCCAATCCAACAGCTACTCCCAGCTAATCTTAATATAACAGATGTTCCTTGCCCTACCTGCAGTCTTTGTAAGGGCAACTGAGATACATTTCTTGCATAGAAGTCACATATACATTCCAGAAGTAAAAACACGTAGGAATATTGAACTATGGTGGCCCCACTAGAGGCTCAGAGGCAGGAGCCACACCAAAACCAGCACAACCCTTCATCCCCCATCCCCACCTCTCCCAACCCCCACTGTACTGAACACTCTTGCAGTCCATTCTGTCTCCTAGGAATCCCAGCAGAGTGAGCAACTGTTTCAGCAGCAATGAAAGTATGTCAGTGGAAACTCTTTGACAACTTTGGGGCCCTGAATGCCAGTCTAAAATTCCTTGTGTCCAGGAAACATGGGCTACAGATGTTCATCATGGATTAAGTCACTGAAGATGACTTACACAATCATTTTTAAAGCTTCAAAATTTATTGCTGTACATTTTCTCATAGCATTTACTATGGAAATATAATAGTGCAAATATTTGGACTTTATAGCATTTGAGAGATCACAAAGCTTTTGATATCTTTTGCAATAATTTATGAAGATCTATATTATCCAAGTTATATTATTTTTAAATTTAAACAAGTAATCTTGTATTCAAAGAGATTACATAATGCTCTCTAGATCTCTTCTCTAGAGCAAAAAAACAAAAACAAAAAACTCTCTGGAAACCACCAGGGCATTCCCTTTCTTGAAAATATATACATACAACCGTTTTCCAACTGCATGATTCTTTGTTAAATCACAAATTTATTCCTTACTTATTGGCAGGTTCGTATGTGCCAGGCACTGTGCAAGGCTGTAGGGAAATTAGAATGAAGACACGCAATTTCTGCTTTCGTGGTGCTTACAGCATAATAGTAAAAACAGACATGCCAAAAAATTTACAATACAATACAATAAAGTGCTTCCACAGAGGTATTTACAAAGTGTAGTGGGAACTTGGAAGAAGGAAAAAAGCATCTGCCTGGAGAAGTTGGGTGCATCAGAGGAGGTAGCCAATGAGCTGAGGCTTGATCAATGAGCAGGAAATTGCCAGGTAGACCGGCAGGCAAAGGAAACAACAGGTACAGACATGGAAGCTCAAGTGTTAAATGGAGCAAGTAATGCAGGTTTTCTTGAGCCAAAAGTACAAGGGGTACAGTGATATAAAGAGGCTAGACAGCAAGGCAGTTACGAAATCATGAAGGGCCTTTCAACCACTGTATTTATTCTGCCAACATTATGAATGCTTATTATGTGCCAGGAAGTAGGCCAAGTGCTGAAGCTGAAGCAGGGAACAAGACAGACACATCCTTGCTCTCATGGAGCTTACATTCTAGTAAGAGATAGACAAAAATATCAGCAAATAAATAAAATACAGATTTAGAAATTTTATACAAAGAAAATAAACAGAGTACTGAAAATATAGTGTTAGGGTAGGGATAGTTAGGGTTATCAAAAGTGACATCTTGGAAGTGACATAAAACTGACACCTGGGGATAATAACAAGAGCATCCTGTGTACACACACTACACACCAGGCACTGTGCTAAACATGCTGTAGACAGTATCTCTCGGAATCCCCACAACTCTATGAGGTAGGTATTATTCTTATTTCACTGAGGAGGAACAGGATCAAAGATTAAGTAACCTGATTAAGTCATACAAATGGCAAAACCAGGATTCAGACACAGGGTTTCCTAATCTCAAAGTGCTTGCTCTTAAAAATAACTCTAAACCACTCTATTCCTACTAGTGAGGAATTTTGAGCAGGGAAGGGATTCAACCACATTGCCCTATTTTGAGAATCTCTGATGGCTACATGGAGATGAAAGAAGACAGAAAAGGACAGTGAACACTTGAAATAAAGGAAGCCACTGAAAAGACTAGAGGAGAGGGAAGGAGGTTTCCACAATAATGGATGGACAAGGGATGGGGTGTGCATGTGAAAAGTGCAATAAATATAGTAGTTCTACAGGATTGACAAGTGCCACAAGAAAACAAAATGGGGGGAAGACATGTAGGGATCGATCCTGAGCTGCTTCTGCTTTGCTTTTACTCAAGTTAGGAAATGCAAGATGGTAGTAAGTTTGTGGGGATGAGATGGTGAACTTGATTTTGGACATGTCCTGTCAGTATATTGGGAACATCCCAGACTTAATACAGAATGGTCCCCAGTAGGACATCATGAAATAGTTTTCAGATCTTGTTCTATATCTGTGAAAAGTATAGAAGGAAAAAAGTTTAATAGTGTGTACACTGTGTTTTTACTTTTACAAATCTGTTCAGAAAAACACAGATATCTTGGTTGGGGTTGCATTGTAAACAGAGTACGTGATCATCAAGATGAAATACCCCAGCTTGATTGCAAATAGACTCATGGACTTCAGGGAGGAGGAGAAAAACCTCTGGCTATCCTTCTAATTTGTCATACTAGCTCTTAAAAAGAAATTGATATTAACTCCCCACCCACCCCACTTGGAACACTGATGAACCCAACCCAGGGACCATCTGCTAACAGTCCTCCCAGAAACTCATCCACCAGCAGGGCTGTTCCAAGGAAACTTGCGTCCTAAGGCCGGGGGACCAAAGTTGAAAATAAACCAAGAATTACAAGAAGTATTTACACACTTGACAATAAAGGTCCAGAAACACAACACTCCAAATTTAGCCAGTCATATTGCTTTAACTAACCTCCTCTTTCTCTTTGAGAATTAAAGGAAGCTGGAGGAACTGATAAAATGTACAGGTGACAGTGATACAGAATTGGTCACATCCTTGACCACATCAGTTGCGGTCTAATTTTATTTTTATTTATTTACTTACTTGTTTATTGTGCTGAGGATTGAACCCAAAGCCATGCTAATTAAGAGCTCTATCAGGTCTAATTTAAAATGAAATAAGAAAGAAATACATAAACTATTCCTATAGAATGACATCATTTTTTGATCTATTTCTCAAATTTTGCTTTAATTTAAACCACTCCCCCTTCCTTGGATTTTGTTTTGATTTTAAAATTAATGATTAAAAAGCAATGCCAGCCTATGTAATTAGACATCATGAAATTTAACCGAGAAAAAAGAAATTTAAGTGGTAATAGAAGTTAGGCATATGAGCTTCAACAGAAAATAAAAAAATGTTAATACTTTAGAGGTTGGATACTGACTAGTAAAGTATCACAATCTGGCTCATTAAGCAACTTGCCTAGAAGCTCCCTCTCACTGTGGTAAGGGTCTGACCTAGATTTTAAAGTGAAAACTGTTTAGCAAAAACAACATGAACTTCAAGTAACACCTAAAGGGTACGTGTGTACCTAACTCATGTGGAAAGAAAGAAAAGGCCTTTTTTAAGAACAGAACTGTCAAAAGTACTAGTCACAGGCAAGAAAAAAAAAATACACATGCTAGATAACAATGTAAACTTCTGGTGAAAGCACAATTCTCAACATGTCTGGAGGCAAACCACAAATGCATGAATTGTTTTCCACCACCTCCATTTCAAACCTAAGGTCCAAGGATCAAAGTTAAATGTGTATCAGGAATGTTAAGAAGGGGCTACTTATTGCGTGTGCTTTTTAACAGAAAAAGTTCCAATCAGTCTGGGAATATAATCATTTATTTTTCTTTACAGTGATGATGGAAGAATGTACAGGTGTCCCCTTTCAATAAAGTATAAAAAATCTGTTTATATACAGTGAAGTCACAATAATCTTTCAGTGGGAAATTTATTTGGTACTCTTGTTTGGTTTATATTAAAACTGAGGGGGGAAACAATTATTTCACATAAGTGCTACATTTCCAGTAGATTGCACCCTGCATGAAAAGCTCAGCTTCATCTTAAAGGTCCTTCTTGATATTACGAAACACTAATTTTAGGTCCTAGGACTCAAAATAAACATCATTTTTTAATAATAGATATATACATCAAAAATACATCTAAAAAGGCATTGGTTAGTGCTATTATTAAAAAGCTCTATGGGCTCGGGTACATTTTTTTCTTACAGGCAAAACCCATTGGAAACGTTTTTACTCAATTTCTAGTAATTTGCTCTTGGGGAAAGTCAGTCCAAAGTTACCTGCAAGAAACAAACAAACAAGAAATTTAAATAATTCAGTGATTTCTAAGTGAGAGGTCATAAAAACTCAAAAACAATAAAGGCAAATTTCACTTTGAACCTCCATTAATGTCTTGATTGCACATTTACAGTATTTTGCAATTAAGTGCTCAAAATATCCTCCCAATGTTTTAAATGTTCTATTTTGGTAACCTTTAATACATTTAAATTTTAAAGAAAATTTATGCTTCTATAAATGTTTTCTATCTGTAATTAACTAAATTAGCACAATACGGGAATTCAAAGGGCATACAAATGAAGAATCATAACCACCAAATCCAAAAATACAGTATTTTGAAAATATTTCTATTTATAATGATTTTACTTCATAATGATTGATTTTACTCTAGAACATTTATAGTAGATATGCACTGAGTTGTATTTATTCTGAATGAATTTTATAATGTACAATTGGAAATTGAACTGTTTATGTCTTTAGTGTGATATCTCATTCACAGTTAAATATTTAAACACCTTTGTTTTTATAGTTATTTTCTTGCAATTATCTTAAAATGTTTGAGGAACTATTCACTCCTGTATGATTTATATGACACAGTAAATATCAGCCTGCTACTCAACCTGCTACCTAAATAAATGAATGTAGACCCACCTGGCTAATAAGTAGTATTAGAAGGAGTTGTGGCATGAAAAGACTGACAGACCTGAAGTTAACCACAGGCTGGAAGACTCAGGGTCCATCTCACCTCAGCCACATGAAGTTGGCCATATCCCAGTCTTTGCCAACCTAAGTCAGACCTATTTCACACTACAAACATCTGCAAGTCATTAAGTTATGCTCCCATTTCTTAAGCCTTTTACGTATATTTTAGGCTAAGTAAGTAACGTAGGTAACTAAGGAGAACTTCTGAACCCTCTATAATCTATAAGTCCAACGACCCATCCTAATGCATTCTCAAGTTTAGAATATGATAAACATAATAGGAATCTTTCCCCACCTAACATACCAAAAGAATGGCCACTTTTAAGGGCTAAAACTCTTATTACTCCATAATAACGAGTTTGTAATTACTAGGATCCACATTTGTGCAAAGCAATGAGCAGCTGCCAGCTTCTTTAGTGTAAAGTCCTAACACACATCCTTGCTTATGTAAGTGATTTGAGTGCTGCCTTGATATCAATCTGCAAAGTCATCTGCAAAGGAAGCACAGGGCTAGCTAAGCCTTAACTGGATGATGGTCCTTGATTATCCAAAACCGACTTCACAAGAGAAGTCTTATAAGGGCACAGTTTGTAACAATTAAATATTGGAAACAATCCAAATACCCATCAACAAATGAATGGATAAAGATGTGGTTTTTGTATACAATGGAGTACTACTCTGCCATAAAAAAGCATAAACTGGAGACATTTCTAGGTAAATGGATGAACCTTGAGGCCATACTTTTAAAGTGAAATAAATTGGACACACATGTTTAAATGTCTCATTGTTTCTATGGTGTGAGAAACCAAAGGGTAAATAAGGACCAAAATGGATGACAGATATTGGGAAGTAGGAAGAAAATGTTTAAATGGAAAGGGGAACATGGGAGGGGATAGGAGCAAGGGAAGGAAGGGAAAAGGAAAGAACAATAGAAGAAAAAATGGAAAGAAAGCTTCTGTAAATAAGGAGGGGAAGAGGGATTAAAAGGAGGAGAAGGGAATGGGGGAAAGAGAAGAATCAAGATACACAATGTACAGATACAAATTCCCTATGATGAATGTGATCATTATGTGTATCAAAAGTGTACAATAAAATTAATTTTAAAAAACAAAAATGGCAGAAAAGTAATAAAATAGTCTGAAAAGCTCCAACAGAAGAGGAGGACCTTCTAAGCACTCTGACACAATGGTACAGATGCTAGCACAGTTGTAGTGCAGCAGATTCCCTCACTGCACTCAGAGAGGGCACAGCTGGAGCCACAGACAAATGAAACATGTGTCAGACTTCTCCTGTCAAAGTTCACACACAGTGAAGATGCTTATTAAAGTCCACTGCAACATGTCTTTGTTATCTTGGAAAATAAAATCCAGAATGTCAATATAGTATCTTCCTGTTCTCAGTAAGATGATAAAGATTTAAAACGGAACTGAACTGGATTTAAACAGTTTTGTGTGGTCAGAAAATTATGTGACACAATAGTGCTACTGTCACTGGACATGTAAATGCTAGGACATTCTCCCTATTATTAGGAAAATAAGATGATGTCAACAGGGAAACTCATCTCTCTGAACTCCCTTCTCTTAGTCTGTTCCTTTACCAAACAGAACTCCTCCCTCCTCCTAGGGGTTCACTTATGAAACTTGACTCATCCTTGCCACTCTCTCGAGCTCCCTTTCAGTCACCTAGTCAAGACAATTCTGTCTCCAAATGTACTCCAAATCTAGCCTTTCCTCCTCTTCTCTCCAGTTCTGTCAGCATTTTGGAAAGTCACCAGTGTCTCTTGCTAGACTACCACAATACCACCTCAACTGGCCGAGCTGCATCCAAGCTTTGCCTAACCCAAAACTTTCCTGCAGCAGCCAAAAGTATCTCGTAAATCATCAAATGTGATCATGCTCCTGTCCTCAGTAGATTACCACTGGTTTTAATAATCAAGCTCAAAGTCTTTAACCATAACCATAAGACCTACATGATTAGGTATATTACCGATACATCCCTCCCTGCATTCAAACCACACCAATCCTTTCTTTGTACCTTAAAGAATCCAAGCTTCTCTTTGCTGTCCTTCTAATGGGTTTACTTTTTACCGTTCCTATGCATTTTCAGGCTCAAGACAAATGTCACTTCCTTAGAGAGGCTCTGTGGACCCTTCACATTATGTTAGCTAACAGGACTCTGTTGCTCCCTCTCCATTTTGTCTCCAAAGGTAATAAATAATTGGGTTATACATGGCCGAAAACAAGACAGGCCTGCCAAAACACAGGATAGAAGGTGAGGAACAAGAAGCCACATCGAAGCCTGAAGATTCAAGTGTGGTCATCTAAAGAGAACAGAATCTCAAAGAAGCAGCCCATGAACCTCATGTGTGAGTTCAGGGTAAAATCAAAATCTGAATTATTTTTTTGTATCGGGGATTGAACTCGGGTCTTTGCACTTGTGAGGCAGGCGATACAACCACTGAGCTAAATCTCCGGCCCCAAAATTTGAATTTTTAAGGAAACTTATGTGTTATACTTGACAATGCCTTTCTTGATCTCTCTGCATCAGTCTTTGGTACACAGAACCAGGAAAAAGGGAAAGATCTTGCCTATCATCCCACCATAATCCTAAGGAGGGAAAAATATATCCCAGAAGGCAGTTACCTTACTTTCCTGGAGGAATTCCTCCATACCTTGACAGAGCTCTTTTCTTCTGCTTTTCTTGAATGACACCTTAGAGGTTTTCTACATTTTGAATAAAGAAGAGCTAAAGGATTCCTTACAGGTGGCTGCAGGGGTATGAATGTCCTCACAGAATGAGAACAAACGGATGCAGTAATTTACATGGCCCTTAAATACAGGCAGAGGGGCCAAAAACAGCACAAGTAGTCCTTTGTAGAGTGGTTTCTTAGTCACTGATAAAGAGGCCACAAAGTAAAAATAACAAGAAAATAAGCAGCTTATGTTAGAAGTGTCTCTATGTCTGGTATTAGTTTACCTATCATATTCTTAGGCTTCATCGCCACTGTCCATTTCAATATCCATCTCTTCTGTATCAGCAGCCCGGGACAGGATGTCTGCCATCAGTGCTTCTTCTAATTTCTTACGTACTTGTTGTACTCGCTCTTCTTGTTTCCTTTTCAAAAACAAAGAAGACACTGAAAACGTGGCAAGTAATAAAAACACGAAACTGCCTCAAAAGTTCATCTTTACTTCACAGTTATTAAATTCCTAAGAAAAAAATACACTTTACTCCCCATTAATCTTTGCAAAAGTTACTTCTACACTTGCAGAACAAATGAAGTGCTCAGTGTTACCCAAAAAGAGAGAGGTTCACACAGTAAGCCCTGTTTCACAGAGGATTATGGAAGGAACAGATTTATTTCAATGACCTCAACCTTAACCTCAAGAATGTCAAGTTATGTGGATAGGTACTGTGGTGCACACCTGTAATCCTAGCTACATGGAGGCCAAGGCAGGAGGATTTCAACATTTGAGGTTAGTCTAGGCAACTTAGCAAAACCCTTAACAAGTCTCAAAATAAAATATAAATTAATGAATTAAAATGGATGGGGATATAAATCAGTGCTAGAGCACTCACCAAGCATGTTTGGGGCCCTGGGCTCAATCCCCAGCACCACAAAAAAAAAAACAAAAAAAAACTTCAAGCATGTGGATTTGGCTTTATTCCTATAAGGGAAAATCAGAAATAACTTGAAAGCAGGGACACAAGAGGGAGTAATATGGAAGATGACAGAAAAGTGATTTTTTTTTTTTTTGTAAAGGGGATTGAACTCATGTCCTTGTGCTTGCAAGGCAGGCCACTGAACTGCTGAGCAAATCCCCAGCCCAAAAGTGATTTTTTTGATGAAGCATTAAGAAAGACACCAAGCAGAAGCACAACAGACCCTACCTTAGGCAACAATTCAACATGAAAGAGCCAGGACCACATAGGTCTACACTGAGCACAGAGACCAAAGTGCACTTCCTCAAGTGAGATGAGCTAAGGAGGTCAAGAACATGCATGAGTTTTTCTATGTCTCAGGGATTATAAGGGGGATTGAAAAATGACAGTAACTCCAAGACATAAACAAGGCTCTGAAACATTAGACAGAAACAAAGATCAAGGAAAGCTGTTGAATACATTTCATCTTTAAAAAACAGACACAGGGCTGGGGATTTAGCTCAGTGGTTCCACCACCTGCCTCACAAGCACAAGGTCCTGAGTTCGATCCCCAGTGCCAAAAAAAAAAAAAAAGACACAAACTCTGAGATTAGTTCCCTGAGAGGGTAAAAGAGGAATTTACATCCAAAACCAAGAAAGACAAAAGTTGAAGACACACAAGAGAAACGGGAACACTGGTAGGTAAAGGTCCTGGGGAAAATAAGAAATGCAGAGGCAAAAGCAGAGGTGGAAGGGTTAAACTCAAATAGAAGAGGAGTTAGGCCCTTTCCAGACAGCAAAGGAACGAGGGCCAGGATGGATGCAGAGTGGGCAATGGAACAATATAATGACAAGGAAGAGACATGAGGAAAACTGAGGGGGAAAAGTGGTTTGCTCTACCAATACTTGAGGAAGACTGATCTAGCCCAGAAGAAAGGCAAAAGAGTCGTACCATGGAGGATCCATCAACACTCAGTGAGTGCTCACTTCCCAAGGCTCAGCCTATGGAAGTGACATGTGCTGTTGTCCTGACCACATCTGTCTGTATCACAGAAGATTATGTACAGTGAAGATAAAATATACTATATAGAATGAGACTTTATTAAACTTCAATAAACTTCTCTTTATTAAACTCCAAAAGCATTCATGTTAAAATCAGGAACAAGACAAGGATGCCCACTATCGCCACTTCTCTTCAATATAGTTCTGGAAACATTAGCCACAGCAATTAGACAAGAGAAAGAAATTAAAGCAATAAAGATAGGAAAGGAAGAAGTTAAACTATCATTATTTGCTGATGATATGATACTCTACATTGAAGATCCAAAAAACTCCACCAAAAAACTTCTAGACTTAATTGACAGATTCAGTAGAGTATCTGGATACAAGGTGAATACCCAAAAATCAATAGCCTTTCTATACACAAATAACAGACAGACAGAAAGAGAAATAAGGGAAAAAATTCCTTTTACAATAGCATCCAAAAAAATGAAGTATCTAGGAAAGCACAAACAGTTGAAAGATATAAACTTCCACTTTTTAAATGGATATTATAGAATGGGTAGAGATGGGGTGGGTTGTTACTGGGTCATCTGTGCTCTGCAGCCTCTGTCAGATTTAAAGAAATGGGAATTGAACAGATTTTCATATAACGGTCAGGGTGAAGAACACATTTATTATTCTTACATAGTCGCCCCTCCAGCCCAGTGACTCAAAGTTTGTCAAATGGCACATCATTTTCACTGGTAGTGTCTCCCTCCTAATACCAGTACAAAAATATGTACAGCTCTCCTGGAGTAATCATGTGTAGAAATAGAGCAAGAGGCACTTTTGGATAAAGAAGTGTGTCTTACATTCTTAAAATCTGCCATGGTTTTCTATATCTTAAGCATTACTTCCCACATTTATGAGAGCTGAAATTAAGGTGTTTTCCCATTGTGGTTGGCGGAATTCCAAGGTGCCACCAAGAGTCTTAGTTACATACACACTCCATATGTACATTCTACCCTTAAGAGTAGATGGAATTTGTGGACATGGCAGGATATCACTTCATGATTATGTTACTAATCAATTGGACCTGAATTAATAACAAGAAAGATCAGTATAGTGAGCCTGGACTAAAAGGAAGCCTTACTGGGGCTGGGCCCTTCCTGAAAGAATTATGTTAGAGCACACAGAGGAGGCCATGTGGCAAGAATTTCAGGCAGCCTTTAGAAGCTAAGAGTGACAACTCTCCCATAGCCAATAAAAGAGCAGAGGTCTTAAGCCTACAACCACAAGGAATAAGTTCTGCAACAATTGTGTGAGCTGGAAAAAGAATCAAGGTCCAGGACAGAATGCAGTCCAGCCAACACTGATATTAGGCTTATGAGATCCAAGCAGAGAATCCAGATGCTGAACCAATGAACTGTGAGCTAATAATTAGTCTTGTTTTAAGCTTCAACACTGTGTAGATTTGTTACGAAGTATTAGAAAATACAAATACCAATGAGTAAAAGATTATCAAATATTTTTGAAACATACACATTTAATATGTGAGATATTAATGTAAACATAATATTGGCTACACAATTAGAGAAAGGATAACAATTTTATTTGTGCTCATTTGTTTTGAACATGTATTAATTCAAAAAGGAATGTCTGCTTAAAAGTTTCTGTTAGGGATTCATTGAGAGAGGAACTGGAAAAACAACTCCTTTCACAATAGCATCCAAAAAATTGAAATACCTAGGAATCAATCCAATGAAAGAAATCAAAGACCTCTACTCTGAAAACTACAGCACTCTAAAAATAAGAGATCGAGGAGGGTATAAAAAAATAGAAAGAGGACCCAGCATGCCAGAGGAGACCAGCATCAGCTCACAACCCTCTGATAGGCCCGCCCCTTCAGCCCAGCATGCCAAAGGAGCCCAGCCATGCAACACAGCAGTGTTCATGTCCCCTGCACCCTCCCCACTCCCACAAACAAGAGAAAGAGGGCCTCTCTGAGGCTCCTAGATGAAAATTGAAGCCCACCGGAAAAGTGAAGAAAATCTGCGATAAAGGCACGGCACACCACGGGGTGTGGACCAGCACCTCATATAGGAACTTGGTCTAACTTCAGGGTAAAGACAGCTGGAACCTGCAATAGAAACTTGCAGAGTTCAACCCAGCAGGTGGTCAGAGATCTAAACTTGGGCCTCACACAAAAAAATCAACCTGAACCTCAGGGGAGACAGCTGCTGGCTTGCTGAGATTAAATAACTTACATCTGCACACTCTTGACCATGCTGTCTATTGTATCAACAGAGGCACACCCTGAAAGAGGCCCTCTACTTCCATTTGTATTTTTTATTTTTAAAGAGTAATATTTTTCAGTTATCTTTAATCATTTTAAAAATTTCTTTTTCTTTTCTCAATTTTTTTCTCTTTTAAACTTCTTTTTCTTATCTTCTTTTCTTGCTATCTCATTCTCTCTCCCAACTCGATCTCCTACCCTACCTTTTTCTTTCTGTTCCTATCCTAATTCAAATTTATTTTCTTTCTTTTTCTTTTCTTCCCTTTTGCCTCCTCTAAACTGCCATTAGTTTTAAAAGAAAGTGATTACAGTCTCTAGCCTCCATATTCTGTTCTTTTGTTCTCTTCTGGTGTATATTTTGTTCTGTCTTCTCTTCTCTTCAACAGCTCCCTAGAGTTTGTGTGATCTTCCTGTGTCCTCTGACCTCACTTCTAATCTTTCTCTATCCTATCGATCCCTCCCTCCCCAACTCCTTTTCAATCCCCATCCTGAAGAGTAAAGTTGCTATACTGAAGAGTTTATTCAATCTAAATATATTTTGGGCTGGTCCTCAATTTTGATTTCATTTACACGTTAAAAGAGATTAATAACTACCACAAATTGTCATTTTCTAAGCTGTGCTTGATGCTACAGTGTTGCTGACTGCATGACTTGGGCTAAGGTGTTCTGATTGATCTAATCAGTTGCCCTCCCTGGTATAATGAAAATGAGATTGCCTCAGAGTCATTAGAGACTCAAAACCTAAAGACCAGCTATATCTGGAAAATCAAAATATTAACCCACGAATTAAACCAAGGACAGGATCAATGACAAAAATAGAAATGAGAAGACATTTAAACAAGACACAAACACAGACTTCCACCTCACTGAAGGTAAACTGTGGGGGAAATGAGGTAGAAAATTCTGACTGTCAACCATTTGAACAACCTGAACCAACAGCACACGAAGTAAAAAAACAGATAAATAAGGCTCTAGAAAAATTCAAAACAGAAATAATTTCCCAGATAACCACAGAGATGGTGAGAAGAATGAAAGACATGATTAGAGAATCTAGAATAGAAACATTAAAAAAATAAAAACATAGATGAGCTCAGGACCATGATGGAAACCATGAATGCCCAGCAGGAAAGAAATGGAAACCTTGAATGCCCAACATAGGAAAGAAATGGAATGCCCATGAAACACATTCAAACAG